GCTGTTGTTTGTTTTGAATGATTAAAAGAGAAGAAATAAAGTTTAAAATGTTCATGCTTTGTTCTGATGCATTTTAAATGGCAGTTTTTTGCGACAAATGTAGGCCTACAATATTATGTTAAAAACGTCAGCCACAGCCCTCAACATAATGACGTCACGTGTTTTCCAACCCAGCCATCAGCCCCGCTAGCTTGAAACAGCTTCCAGCGCGCCTGCGAAGGGACTAGGTCCCTTGATTGGTTCCCATCGGTTCCCTTCACGGAGGGACCGGTTCCCATCATGGAGGCAGCAGCTTCTAACCTCTTCCCCTTAGTGTCTCTTCTATCAGACATCATCTCCAATCATAGCTGATCTGACCTGGAAGGAAACCAGAGCAGTTAAAGTCACCTGCTAATAGATCTTAACCTTTCAATCCTCAGTAAAATGTCAGATAACAGGTTGGACGAGCAGACGTACCTGTGCGCATGCGCATTACAGCAGTCAGGCACGCAGAAGAAAGGAGGACGGGAGCCGCTCTGAACTCCAAGCGACCCAGCTGCTTCACTACGTCACAGAGGAACTAGGAGAAACCAGTACAGATTGGAAGGAAACCAGTTAGCGGAGCAGCAGCGGATGTCTCCCCTCCGAAACCCTGTTACGTAAAACACGTACTCTCTGTTTCCTCAAGCCTCATACGCTGTTTACGTAGTGGGCGGAGCAGTGAGACAACACTGCTCCGCTCGCTCGCTCGAAACTTCAGCAATGTAAATGAACCAAACCATCAGCCAATCACGCTCAGCCTTTTTTCATCCAATGAAAGCATTCGTTCCTTCTCCTTCTTCTTTTCTATCATGGCGGATCGCAAGCAACTTTAAGGTGCATACCGCCACCTACTGTTCATGAGTGTGTAGCAACATTGTTTTACATCTATTAAATTCTATTTTTGAATTTTGTATTCTGAACAGGTTCCCAAATGGTAAAGGACACACTAACCCTCCTTTCAACCAGCTTGTCTAATTTTGCTGTGGGAGGATGAACTGCAACCAACCAAACAACCAACCCCGTGACCTCACTGCTTAGAGAACTACAACATGGTGGCCCTTACCAAAACAATTATAAACTGTGCTATGTTTTTTCTTTTATATGTTTCGATTTTTCACGTTAGTGATAGAATTATTGATAATAGTAAAAAATAAGTCTTGAATATTAAGTTAGTTTGGTTGACCATTTCATTTCCAAATTAAAAACAATAGACTGATTTTCTAAAGCTTGCACTTATATAAGGACAAGTGTGAAATTCAAACTATTCATGATTACCCTCTCTAAACACTCCATAATATAAAAATAAAGAAAGAAGTAAAATACTTAGGAATACTGATCTGTAAAGATACAACAGTTTTTATCCATAGGAATATTTAAAAAAAAATGCAAAAAACATTTTTATTACATGGATTTCAAGGGATATAACTGTTTTTGGAAAAAAATGTTCTTAAGTAAAATAAACAAAATTAAACTTAATTTTATATAGAAGAGCAAATGTCATTATTACGGAGCCCCTCTGATGACATGGTCAAAAAAAATGTTTAATTGTGGCCACCAAGTAGTATTTCGTGCGCACGAAGTAGTATTTCGCGGCCACGCAATAAGTATAACGTGCACACGAAATACTTATTAATAATATCAATAAATCCGCCCCTGTTTTCAGGCTTATGTTAACTATAATGACTTATCTTGGACAGGCTGCTATGTAAACGGGCCTTTAGTCCTTCGTTTAGCTATGCTG